ACCAGGACCAACTTTGGATTCTTGTTTAGATACCTTTTTAAAATTAGGAATCCTCGCTGATAGTTCCGGGCAGGCCTTATATTTCCAAAACGTCACTTATGAGGAAAGAAGACCTAAATCCAATGTGCACCTCCGATAAAAAATTATCCCTTATTTTCACCAAACGCCTAACACCCTAGTCATTTATATAACGCGTCAATTGTCGAAATTCAGACCAGCTTTTTCGTTAACGGACCATTATTGAAGAAAAAAAAACACATGAAGTCATCAAGTCTGACGATATTATAATTTTTGTTGTGTGTGTGTGTGTTTGCATAAGGGGAATCGTTGTCTTAAAGATAAGATGCGATCCAAGTGGGTAAACAGAATATCAGAGAAAGGCGATTGGGTTGACCCGTCGAACATTACAGTTGGTATATTATAATATATATTTATAGGTAGGTACGTGTGTTCTTTATTATTGCCGTCATCGTCGTGGTGGAGAGTCCAGGTGTGTGTACGGTTAGGTCGTTGTTTGCTTCGTCAGTAATATAAAATGTGTGCAGTCCGCCGGGTATATACACACACATACCGCACTCGTCGGTATTATAAAATGTTTGCTTCCCGGTCCTTTTGATTGGACATTTCGCCGCTAAAAGCCATTCCGATAAAAATAAAAAAAACTCCAAATATTAATATCGGGCGTGCTCGGTTGTGTGTACAATACATAATAATATTATTATTATCGTAGTGTGTAATAACACCGGAGAAGAACACTTCGGTATAATATTATATTATATTATGGGCAAACACACACACATAGTACACGGCCGGTCCACCACACCCAACTCACAAGAACACCATAACATTGGTAAATATTTGACTATTGGAAACGACTTGGGGCCGCCGAGACGATCACGAGGTCGGGAGGTGGGAGGAATAGGACAATCGCTGTTTGTTGTTTTACTAAAGTTTTAATCGTTTAAATTTTATATAAAAGCGCATTTCCAGAGTCAGTGAGATACTCCTGCTGAAAAAGTATCAGCAATCAATCAAGCATAGTCCCCACAATTGTAAGATTTATAATTTTTACTGAAATTTTGAGGAAGCTTTCAGCGTTTTTAAAAGATTTACACTTCTTTAGCCCTCTTTCCCTCTAATACAGCCAATAATATAGCAGAATAATTAAAAAAAAATAGGAATTCACATATAAAAAAAAAAACGATCCTTATTACGAACTATTTATAATAGTTAAAAGTTAAAACTGACAGGACTGAGTCTAGCAAACATTTGCTCCCAATATAGAGTATTAATTGTAATTTACAATTTTTGGTTTCTTTGATTTTTTTTCTTAATCACGGAAAATTTAGCAGGTAGGGCTAAACAATAAGAGAAAATGTTGATGATAGCCCAGAAGGTGTGGAAACTGTTTCTTTATTTCGCTTTGTTAGGCATAGTTTCAGACAACAGATAATCTTAAAAATATTTTCAGTATATTGTTGATTATGATATATATATAGGTAACAATGACAAGAAACATATTATTATAGACAAATATTAGAGATTGACAATCAACAAAATATTGTATTCTATTGGTATTTTGAGTGTGTACGTCGAAGACATTATAATATAGTACCTATGTATAAGCGAGCACGCGCGTACTTATCCGCATGTATTTAAATACTATTATACAGCCTTCCAATCCAGCCCACCTGCGATGTTTTCTAGTGGAAGTCTGTATATAAATATTATATTGTTATTATTACATCATCATCATCATCATCATCAATGTGTGTGGGGACACTAGACGACACAATACATACCTTAATGACCGCATACGAAACAATCATGCCATTTCTTATGATATTATAGATTTTTACTTACATACATAATACATATAATATTACACATGCATATAGGAGGACGAATTTTTGATTTTTTTTTTTTAAACATCTTAAATATAGTAATATGTATACCTATAATACAATGGTGTTGGGGACAATAATAATGCGCCCGGCCCTATTTTGTATGAACTATGGAACTGTATGCACCGAAGGGATACTAAGGAGTTCTAATAGGACGTCTTTGCCATTACCGGATTAAAAAATTCACAAATTCGCTAAAGGTAAAATAATAAGCGCATGGCATCGAAAGGGCTAAACATGTGACCGGTAGGACGGGTAACCGCAAAGCTATAAAATATATTGGACTCCTCTTGACGTTAGTCGTTATGTATAGGTCGACTTACATGCATATTACTGTAAAATCAATACTGTAAGAGGTGTATGTTGGCCGTAAAGGAAAAACAACTCGTGTTGTTGCTATTTCAGTTACTTCTTCTCGCACAATATTACCTAATATTATAGTCCTCATTACTTTACTACAGCATAATATCACAATTATTTAATATGCATGCTACATGTATATATGTATGTACATGCTATATGTATGCTACATGTTAATTGTTGAGAACGTTCGGTTGATTTTGTTTTCACGAATTTCAGTCACGGCTATCACATTACGATTAGAGGGTTACAATATAAGCACCTGTTTGCCAAGGTACTTTACGAGGGTAGGGTGGTGGTGGTCTATTTTTATAATTTCGTTGGTTAAGCACCTCATGAACACGGCCTTCCCCAGACGAATGCCGAATTTGATTCAGTTATCGTATTTTAAGCAATGCTCGGAAAATAATAATACTAATTTGTTTACAGCACTTTTTGATTGGACAATTGGAATTGATTAGCCACAGCTAAAGCCAACAATATAATATTGTAGGTGCTTATAGCTATACAGCCCACGAGATAGAGACTGAGCATAGAGTAATAACATACTAGGTACTCGCCACTTGGTATATAATATTATACAGTATAAAATATGTACTGCGGGATAGTAATACAGAGGAGCCGGATGCGACTGTATGGTGACGATGTGCATTGTTGTATCGAGTTGCGCCGTGTAGTAGTCGTTTCCCCCCAACAGACCGGATGAGTCGCTTTAATATAAAAAACAGGCGTGTTTTAATCAGAATCCCCGGCCAATAGCAATCGTTCAATGGAGGATTTTTATCAAATACACGCCAACGCATTTATTCGTCAAAGTTCAAACCCATCCGTATAATATTATCTTCTTTAATATTATTTTAACTGCAACATAAGAAGTATTATAGTATATACACATCCATTAAAATTATTATGTAGATTCATCAACAATCAATGTAATTTATGACATTGATTTTAGAATATACACTCTAAAAGTATATATTAAAACTAATGTTTATGATAACATCGAAATGTGTACAAAGAAAGAAATTTACAAATGTATTATGATGTGTTCAGATTTTGTATCTTGATTCTTGTATCAATGCTATCCTCTGGATATAGACTTAAAAACTATAGGTACCTACGCCATAGGCTGTAATACACAACGGTTGTATTTATTGTAACTCTGAATGAGTTAATAGTTTGTACTAAATTAGATTAGGTTAAACAAAACAACTTTTAACACTGAAAACTACATTTTCGATCACTTATTCAAGTTAAAAGTCAAACTTGATGAATTAAATCAATTTTTCCCTATTTTACACGTTTAAAACGTATTTATGGCTGTAGAATAAAAATTTTATTTATTTGTTTAAACGAAAAATCAATTAGACAGTAAGGTTTATATGATTAATATTTTAGTTAAAACAAATAAATAATTAGTTCAGTTAATACTAATATATGTTAATCTTAGGTTAACCTAACCTGGAATTGTAGCTAATATTAACATATTTAAAGAGACCAAACACCCCAAAAACAAACGAGGTAGTTTAAAAAATCCCAACAATTGTTGAATTTTATAAAATTTGGTAATGCATTTACATGTTTTACACGAAATACATATGTGGGTGCATTGAGCATTTACAAATAGCATTGTTCCGTCATTCTGGGACGTATATTGATGTCTGTGTATTAACCTAACCATACTCATATTGCATATATATATATATATATATATATATATGCATAAACATTACACGTGTTGTTGTGTGTATACTGTTATATTTTCTAACGCGCTATGAACTCTTCGGCTGGCAAATATTATTATATTTATTTTCCTTTTTTTTATCACCTTGGGGCAGTTTTATAATAATATAATACGCGGACCATGCGCATAATGCAACCGCTGCAAGACGGCCGGTAGAAGTCTAATTTTGTTTTATAAATGATTCTGACAACGTATCGCAGACTGTAATTATAAGTCGTAAAAAGTGCGCCGGTAAATGCATTACAGTGGTCTACTGCGCCCCCCTACACGCATAATATTGTTCTGAGTGTACAATATATATATTTTTTTCAATATATTTTATACACATGTACTTACCCGCAGTAATGTATATAGCCGGGCATGCCGCACATTTTAACTTGCCACGGTATAGTATACCGGGTGGCAATCCGCAACGACTGCACTATATAGTATTATCACAACCAAATACCTACTAACATTAATATAGAAAAACAAAGCTTGATGACTTTTACATTTATATAAAAATATTAATTATTATATACCTGTTTAGTATGATTATATAATTATAACTAATACAATATAGTGCAATAGCGCTAGTATGAGCAAATAGCGTAGGTATAGGTAATAATATGCGTCTAAAGACATCCTGTATACATTACACTCGGCTTGCTACTAGTATTTTATTATGTTTTTGCGACCGACAAATTGCAAAGTATATTGTGCTGGCGGCATGTTTTTCCCGTATTTAATCGGATCGCCCACCGTATAATAATGTGTACGACCAGAATGTATATATATATTTTGTAATATATTATTATTATATTACATGTTCTACTAGTGCACAAAACGGACATATATTATAATTTATAACAATAAAATTCAACGTATACACACTAAGTAAACCGATTTAGACTAGATAGTGACTCATATTGTTGTTGTTAAAAAAATACGATAAAGAAGTGAACTACCAGTAAAAAACACTCATTTTACTTGATACGTTTGCGATTTTTCAGGTACTCCCATCAGCCGTCTACCTATCATGGCCAAACGCGTGTTGGACTTGTACACCCTGTACAAACTGGTCGTACAAAGGGGTGGAATCGTGGCGGTCATCACTAAGAAATTGTGGCAAGAGATCATCAGGGGACTTGGATTGCCGCCGTCCATCACTAGCGCAGCTTTTACCCTACGCACACAGTAAGTTAATAAGAGTTTTTTTTCAATAGTTATTCTTTAAATTTGCACATGTTACGTTAAGTTATTTAGCATGTTAACAGCTTATTTTGTTTTGAGTTATAATTTATTATACATTTAAGTACTTTATTCAAATTATTATTATTTATTTATTACTATGTATTACATAATTAGAAGATTGACTGTAATGGTAATTTTCGCAGGTATGTCAAGTACTTGTACGCATACGAGTCCAGGATGAACCAGTTCAGTTCACTAGACGAGTTGAACATGGCTATTGCCGGGAACAGGCGCGAGGGCAGGCGGAACAAGTCATTGCTGTCCGAGTACATGCCGCAAATGACTGGCGGCAGCGGCCAGATCGGCCACAATCCGCACTCCGGTTCGCCGTCTTCGATGGCTCACCACCATCATCATAATCATCAACAGCAACAACAGCAGCAGCAGCAACAACATCAACAACAGCAACAACAACAGCAACAGCAGCAGCAACATTACGCCAGCGTTCTGGCCGCCGAGGACAGGTTCCGTCACTTGGCCGCGGCCATCATGGACAACAGACAACGAGCCTCTGTCGTGGATCAGACGCGACAACCGCCCTTGTCCGGCGGAGCAGGCAGTCCGCTGGCTGCGTCCGTTGCCGAACAGCCCTTTAACGGCCATCAGACGTATCCAGCTTCGGTGCCGGCGGGCGCCGTCCCTCGGCCGACCGGCGACCAGACAAACAAACAGAGAGGTGAGCTTAAACAAATTACCATTGCAATAGTAACCTAACCCAACCTTACCTATAAACTAGAAAACTGCTTATCAACATGTCGCACCCCCGCTTGAAAAGTGACAACTGGAAAAACATGATTATATTTTTATTGTGTAAAAACGTCATAAGTCTATTATTATTTTTCACAAACTTTACTTTTGGCATTACAATATTTTACTGATGTACAATATTATCGAATATTATTATTAAAAATAGAGAATGTCGACAGTTTACAGGAAAAAAGAGCATAGAGAGTATAGTGGAAAAAAACAAATTAATTGATCAATTAATTTTGCTCAAGACTCGTAGTTTTTATGCTAGAGGACACAAATATATAATATTTAGATATGTTTGGGATTAAATATCAATAATATTTGTATCTTATGAGTGCATTTTTTCCGGGTGGGCGGGTGTCAAATATGTTTTCCCTCAAATGTTTGTGGATGAGTGCCACTGAACTTAAAACATAATACATAGATCATTTTTTTTTAAAGCTAAACAAACCAAAGGGCCGACGATGCCTTCCCGAGGAGAGAGGTTTCTTAATCATTTATATATACCGGGACGTGTGGGGTTTAGTTTGTATTATTATATAGACTATAGCTAGCATATAGCTAATGTCTTTTAACTTTTGATATTAATAAGACAACCGAGTCACTAAAAAAATATTACCCTTTCTAATTATGTTCATAGCGTCTCTCTGACACAAAGATTCTATAATAAATAATATTGTTAACGCGATATTTTCTTCGTGTATCGCTACTTTTATTTGTATCGGTCATGTTTACATGAAAATCAAAATAAATCGTCGCGGTCTTTTTTTAACACGTTCGTTTTTTTTGTTTTCAAAATAATATATTATGCGCCAACAACAATGTAATAATTATATTATTATAATATATTGTTGTCGCATATCTCACATATTGATTGGTCTCATTCATCCGGTGTATTTGTAAAACATGTATAATATTGCCTATTATGATGTTTTCCACGCGCATTATTATTCCTTATAGAAAGAATCGACTATTTTTCTTTTCACGTAAACGCAGTAATTACAACATTATTATTATATATATATTATATTATTGTGTGCGATTTCTCGTACGCGCGTGACACGTCACGATAATGGAGAAAAGAAAATTACCATTTTTTACCACAAGCGCAATACCGATAAAACAAAACTTCAAGCCGAAAATGTAACTTTGACATAGCAAAATAAAATTATGGATGGAATTGATAAAGTGACTTTCGGTAACCAGTTGGTTATAGCAGCCCTACGAACCTACAGAATATTTTGTTGGCACAATTAACGCGGGTGTAATAAAAAATACTAATAATAAAACAAAAAAGTATAAAGCGCTCGAGATATTATATTTTGCGTTTAAAGTTTTTTTTCTTTATATTATACAGGTGCAAACGCATGTGACGTTTTTTACGATTCTAGAGAAAACGTATACTTAACCGCCTTCGAGGATTTACGATTATTCCGCGTTTGATATATTTTGTATATTTAGATAAAGTGGACCCGTAGCTATATTACTTTGTGTGTAGTACATGCGCTATTTGCATATGTAGGTAGGTATATTAAAAAGTATGTATATTTTAAGTATGTGTGTTTATCGACGACCATTGAGTAATATGACTTACTGGTCGCGTTTACTTGACTCAAAGGGAAACGATTATTGTTGTGATGTGACAAGAGCGGAGCCCCGAAGGGAAGTGTGAAACAGTGGGCTGAGGGGGACGGCCGTCGTCGGTTTGTGTGCGTTTTGTCAGATTTATATGTTTTTATTTTCTATAAAGCTCGTGACATTTTTTTTTAATTTTCTGTTTATATAACGACACGGCGGTGCCAAGAAATAGTTAAAAAATAAAACAAAACCGGGGGTAAACACGGTGACAACTAACAATCCCTTTGACAGGTGCGCGCTGCAACCGTCGTTTGACGGGATCCCAAAAATAAATATTTGTTCAATTTCACATCTCCCGACCGTTATTTTTTTGATAATTATTTCACTTTTTTTAACGTTTCTACGGTGTATACATTATATTATATTAATACACCTCGTGTGTATATGCACCTGAGAAGGTTTTTGTTAATATTTATTTTTAAAACGTCACCGCGGAGACATTAAAATGGTTATTTCGCTGCTCGGCGGTCTTCTATTCATTCATCAAACTCGTGTTCATTAAACGAAAAAACCCGTTCTAAATTCGGTCGCTGGGTCTATGTGTACGTTATAATATTATAGTAGAGAGTATCATTTTATAGTTTTGTACTTTGTATACGGATTTAAGCGTTTCAGTACATACTAATATATAATCGTCTTAGTTACGGTTCATTAAATGTGATATTATCAAAAACTCAATGTTAACCATTTATATTGTTTATTTTTCGTTAAAAAGATGTGTTACAATACAAGTACAGGCTGCTTATAATAAACAATAGTGGGTATTGACAAGTGTAAAAATATACCTATAATATATCATACCCCCACTAGTATTTAAAGTCAATTCGCAAATGAAATTATTGTGAACAAATTTTGTTGGCATTTAAATTTCGTTTGAAATCAGCAATGTATTTTGTTGGTGGTCGACCTTACGTTACCGAATATATATATAGTTGGTGTGACAGTTTATTTTTTTTTTTCAACCTTGAAATCCACCGGAGTCGGCCTCGGCTTACATAACGTTATGTAATGCATTTTATCTACTCCTTAAGGGGGGCTCCCACCGTACAGACCATTTTTTCAGTCAAAACACATCATTTTCATTCCATCGCACAGGCCTAACCAGTGATTCGATAAGCAATCTGAAAACAGATTTGAATTCGTCATGAAGTTTATAGAATGTTGAAATTTTATAAAATGTTCAAACGTGTTTTATGCAAAGTAGTAATAAGATATCAAAAAAAAGTATGTCGACCGATCTCAAGTAAATTTCATGACGAATTCAAATCTGTTTTCATATTACTTATCGGATCACAAATTAACCGGTAAATTTATTGACATGGTCGAAATTTATTTAAACCAATTTTTTCTTAAATATTACCTATACAAAACTCATTGGTCTGTATGGAGCCCCGGAGCTTTGGTTTGTGGACACCCTTCGCCTATCTCGTGACACAGCCTCGTTTTGTCCGAATCCCATGTTCTCTCCGTCGAGAATGTCTGCTGCTGATGAATAAACATTGTTCGGTGACCCGACGGGGCGAGGGTGGCAGACGTTTCGTCAATGTTATCAACGTTATAATATTATATACACACACACATCAAACCACATTGTCTTGTAAATGTATACACGGGCATTTGTCGCGTTGAATTACATACATAATAATGTGTACAACACTATGTACACGATGTGTGTATATTATAAGGTACTATTATATTATTATATTATGTATGTACCTAACGTACCTACCTATACACTACTTTTGATACGCCGTCGCCTCCGTCACCTCGCAGTCGTGTCCCGTACAAGACGGCGCGCGTTTGAATAAATCAATTTTTACACATAACGCGCTACACCGTGACATCGTCGTGTGTTCGTTTAAATCCATCCATAATACAATATAATATATATATATATAATACGTGAGCCTTTTGATATTTAAATATTCAACACGGATGCATATTGTTGATTTTTTTTCTTCTCCTTAACACTTACACTCGCCGCACTCATACACACACACACACACATACCCTGCCTTATCTCCGTCTATATTATAAGACGGTATGAATGTATATTATACGGGTATAATTTTTTTTCTTAAAAAATACATATAAACTCGTGTTCGTACATAAAAAAACATTACAAATTACCGACACTTGTTCACGCGTTGACGACAACTTCTTGGTTTTTTTATAATATACACTAATAATATAACACATAGACTATACCTACTAACAATAATGTATGTACAGACCCGTCGGTAGATCTCTCTTCGGTTGTAAAAAAAAAATATAAAAGAAACTAAAAGAAAGATACAAATAAGGTTTAATATAATATAATCCCAACGGTTTGTTCTACGAATATAGATGCATTATATATATATATATATATATAATAAATATATATATAAGTATTTATCCCAAATCAAAAACAGCTGTTATTGTAATGAGCTGAGATAATAAAAACTCATTGTCACTTATAAGTTTTTAAACATTATATAACAGTGTTTTATTTTTTTAACTTTACATCCGAAATGGTAATCAAAGTCAAAAATGCAATATTTAATAAACATATAAAACCGAAGATGACAATATTATGTTTAACGTCATTTTCAATGTTATGTCTTATAATACTGATAAAAAAAAAAATGTTAATATATATTTTTAATACACCATTCTAATATTTTATTAGTATTAATTTGATAAATAGATTATTAATTACAATACCATAAAATAACCTTTACTATGTTATTTTTTATTGCGCAGAACTTCTCAGTATGTTAATGTGGATGGACTTGATGAGAGCGAATCAGACCGCCGGAATGCCCAGACTGTCAATGCCTAGTAAGTAGTTAGCACACCACCACTACATTAATATAATATTATATCCGAAACCACTTCACCAGTTTTCTTATTAAATAGCTTCAAAGTTGTTATCATTAAATTATGAGAAAATTTGTCAATTATTACCGATAAAAAAGAATTGGCGAACAAGATATAAGTATAACCATGTTCTACGGGGATGTAAGGCGAAGCCCCCCGCGGCTCTGCGTTGCATAAAATATAGTAGTTTTCTATAAATTGATCATGAAATTTGCTTTCACTTCTTAACTTCTTTGTCACCTTAATAAAATTTAGCCCAAGTCACGCAGCTGGTTTTTAATTTTGTTAAGCTAACTATAACCGACAAATATCTTAAACTGAAATTCTTCAATATATAAATACAATAAAATCACGTTTTTATAGTAGATAATACAGAAGAATAGGCGTTTTAGTTAATTTTTTCCACGTTTATCATTCTCTCAGGATGCTCATGTTTGTTATCAGACGGATGTGTGAAGGGTGGACGGATCGATTGAATATCAATCAGGCATGTCCCTATTCCCAAAATGCCTGAAAAGCATTTTTTTTTTTATATTTCTATTTCGAATGTATTTACCATAGTTTGCCAAAGTTATGAATCATCCGATGGCGTTATTTTTAAGTTGTTGAATTGTTTACCCATCAGACATGCCGACTAGTCCGTCTTCAGCTGCCTATGCTGCCATGAATCTTTCCCAGGCCGCTGCAGCCATGCAGTTCAAGAGCGGTCCCGTACCGGAACAATGCGAAGCTCTGAACTTAGGCAAAAAGCGCGTTGCCAACAATAACAATGCAGGCGAGGATGACGAGGAACACTTGTCTATTGTAAAACGTATCAAATCTGAAAGGTCTTCGCCGCTATCCCACCACCAAGTGATGATAAATCGTGGGTCGGACGATGAGAACGACAGCACATCGAAAACGGCCAGTCCGATTGGCATCCAAAGACGTTCACCATCGGTCGATCGGCAAGACTGCGAGGAATTAGTCGAAATAGACATCAACGTATCACCCGGTAAGTGCTTTCGAAAGACAGCGGGTCTAGTTCTAAGTTTATTAAAACTTACAAAATATATACCATATTATGAAATTATACCAATTATTGCTAACATTAGAGAGACAAACATTGTTAACAGTCATTCTGAGACATAATGTTGCACTTATTTGATTACATTGTACCTATGTAGACCTTTGTCTGTTGTACATTTTAACAAGGTAAGAAGCCAACGTTCGAGACACTTTTTATTTCTTTAAAATATGGTCTATTCTGCCTTATGATCTCAACATTACTATCACGATAAGTCAGCATAAGGGGGGGAATGGAGAGCCAACTCTTTTACCGTGGTCTCGACATAGGCGCAATTTCAATAAAAAAATTGAGGGTGCTTAAGTTGTGCATTTTCCATGTGAACAGATTTTAATTTATTAATTAGGTTAATATTTTTCTGAGAAAGGATTTCGTTTATCAATTTAACAATTAATCACAATTTAACATATCAGTTTAGGTATTAGTGTTTTAGTTTTTTATTAAAAAACAATCAAAATGTATGCAATATTACAATTTACAGGTATTTCATACAAGAGTTGTACACGCTTTGCTTGTTTTTCTATTTATAATATTGACAAATCTGTCCTGTCTCATTGAACCCCTAAGCTAAATCTTTATTTTCCTTAAAGCAATAAAACGACCGTTCACAAGGTGCAGAACTAATGGGGAGAGTGATGGCCACATGAAATTGATAAATGATTCTGAATAACAAGTACTATTATCAACTCTGCAAAAAGCTTTTGGTTTTTTTATATTAACATTTTTTTTAAGCAGAGGTTTTAATACATAAACAGAAAAAATATTAGAGGGTGCTTATTTTAAAATTGAGGGTACTAATACCTAATACTTTCCTAATTGCGCATATGGTCTCTGAGTGTGTTTTTATAAAATGCAACACCAGATACACACCTTACCTGGAACACCATCAGCCATTAGAATAATTAAATAGAGTAGGAAACGTTAATTAACAGTTATATAGTGCCTTCTATGGGATATTTAATAACGCGTATATTGTCATACCTACAGTTTTATATTAGTTTTAAGTTAAATGAATATTACAAATATCATATCTATATTAAAAATCGCATTTACAATCACTTAATTCTTTATTAGTTATAAGATTACTGTAATTATTCCCAATTATTATAATACATTAGTACAAAACAAACCTTGAAGTTTGATTTGAAATAATCATTTTGATCTCGAGTATGCGTTCTTTTAGATATTTGTAACGTTTACTGGTTGGTAACACATGAATGGAATTTACATTTCAAACAATATGAGACTTAATTTGTTATTTTTTTTCCTGGTAAAGCAAAACAAATGAATAATCTACTTCATTTTATACAATAATATCCAATTATAATGCGACTCAAATGACACAATTGGAATCCATGAAATATTAATATTATTTTTCTAGTCAACGCGTTCGCATAAATTATATATTATACCTTATTTAAACTTTTGTCGTTATTGTTTCTGTCGTCAACATTTTCTATGCTATATTCATTGACCTAAATAAATGAATATAATAATAATTATAATAATTTCCATATTTTTCTTCGCGTCAACATCTATTTATTATTGTGTACATTCTAAGTATACACCGAGTTCGCCATCCTGTTGACCGTGTGCACAAATTAAGCAATCCAATAGAGAAATCGAATTTCGCGGTTTGCTATTTTGCATTACTGTTCAAATAAATGTTGTTGACAAATTCAATACAACAGACCGTGTATGGTTTCGAAAATAATGTGTCATATAATATTCCTACTCTCAGTTGTCTATTTACACGTTAAGAATTATTATTAATAATACAAATACATTTTATTAGGCTAGAATGTAGGCTAGAAAATATTCAGTTTTTACATGTGATGGCTTCCAAGTTAAAAACCAAATAGTGAATAAAAATGTCACTTGTCTTTGTAGTTTAAATCTTTGCCAGGGCTAAAAGCTGATAAAGATGTCAGGTCGATTGAATAAACTAAAAATCCTTTATTATTTAAAATATTCACCAAACCGAATGTGTTGAGATAGGTCATCCGCAATTGACTTCTAAAGGAAACAGTTGGCCTCTGATTGTTCCAATAATATTTTTCTCCTCCTTAGCCTTTATCCTAACTATTTGAGGTCGGCCACCATTTTCCTAAGGTTCCACTGGACTTGAACTCACACGTTATTATCGTCGCAGCAGATTGAAAAATATATGGTATATTTTTCAATCTGATCGTTCCAACATTAATAAGAAAATATTATTTGTAACTGTTTTAGGCTTGTCAAACGGACTCACGATAAACGTAAGCCGGAAGACAAAAGACGGCGTCTATAAGGGTCAGCTGTCCAAGACCGAAGTCGCTTTAAACGGAGGTAAGATAAGCTTAATTACTGTATAACAGTTTATTCTTACATTCTATAATCGCATTTAAAGGGTGGGAAAATGAAGACCCCAGCGAAAGTTGAACGCCTAAAAAAAAAGTCATTTTTTTTAGCAAACCATTATTATTATTGTAAACAACAATATTATAAATAGATATACATTGCGAATTGTTTTTATTATCAAATCAGGTTCCATTAACAACGTAAGTCCTTTCCTATTGCGTCTAAACGGCGAACTTTACACGGGATGTCTTCAACTCCAACAAACCAACCACCTCAGTCACATCGACAGCAACACTTTAAGTTAACCTAATATAAGACAAAGTATTGTTTTTATTTAATTATTCGGCTTATATTAGTGTTATTTTTATTTCATTGTAGCCTAGCAATTATTACGGACTCGCTACGTTTATTTTTATTTTTTTATTGTTAATATAATTAATTGATTTTACATAATTTAACATACAGTACAACAATGAATGTTGTACACAAAAGAACATTTTGAAAATTGATTAAATAATAATGTATATTTAACCTTAAACGCTGTACATATTTATTATAAAACAAAAATAATGTTTTTATTTAAAATACTTAAATATAGTAGTGTAATTACATATTACTATTATTTATTATTATATAGTATTGTCAAAATCTAGGATAGACTTTTTGTGTAAAACTTTTTTTACATTTTTTATTACTGTAAATTAAACATTATATTATATTAAATTATTGTAAGGGCTGTGCATCCTTAATGGTATAGATCTCATCATCATATAGAAAATAATAACAATATGAGAAATACATAATACTGTCGAGAAATACTGATTGTGCTTAATTAAAATTTAGTAAAAAAAAAATTATGATCACCCATATATTTTACATTTGTTTAATCATTAGTATTGTGTACTCATACGGATATTTCCTCTTGTACATTTGTAATAAAATATATAATACAAAACTCTACAGTATCATCAGTGTATATTTCTAATCGAAACGAGTTATTTATAATTGCCTCGTTATATTTCCATAGTGTAAAAAGTGTAAAATGGTAATGTTCTTAAATTTTAACAAGATTGCAGTACGGTCGAGGCGGACGACGCTTTCGGTTTTTCATATAGAAATAAACGTCGAACATAAATAGCATTCGATAAATAATTTATATTGCAACCGAGAAACGGCCGGAATATTTTGAGTAAGTGCTCAATTTGCGGTGTAGTAAAGTAGTGAAAAATATTTTGTGTGATGCTTCAATAAAGACTAAGTAATTTATACACAAAGTTGTAGTTACAATCAATTTGTTTTATGCATCCGCACGACAAGACTTTATTAATACTTTAATAAGGAAAATGTAATTTTTTTTATATGATATATTTTTCCTTTTTTTTATTAGTTTCAAAAACTTTGACACAATATTTATATCATTATTACCGACTTCCTCTTTATTAGCTGTATTTGAACGACATTATAGTTAAACGGTTAAAAAAAATACAACTTTTCGTTCTAATTGTCTACTAAGAGCGATCTGAGTTAGTCGGGATCCAAAATGAAACAGTGTTATAATATAAATAAGGACTAGACAGTCAAAAGTCAGGGGCATGCTAAGAAAATAGGAAGATACAAAGATGGTACAAATTAAGGGGATGCCAATTTTATAATATTGCAGGAGGACGTCGAAAATCTGTTGCTTTAGGATACTTATATGGTTAGTATTGCATTGTTTTTAAGTACATAATAATGTACTTAAAGTACTGCAAAATCTTATTATCTTGTTTGCAACTAGATGTACTACGTATACTTTATTGAGTTTTCAAGTTCTGCAGTTATGAGTTATGTGTCTTAGGATGATTTCGTGAATTGTTCACTAAATGAATCAATAAGCAATCAAAGGAGAGGGGATCAGTTGGATAGTAATCTCATTCCAATTACCTAACTGTGTAGTTTATGTGGTAAGTATTTAATATATTGTAGGCATTTGTAATACATTGTAGCACATAAAGCAATCAAATGATCTAAGCTCCACACGTTATAATATTTGTCTAGGATATTGCAATTGTATGGGAGTATTCATATGGAATGCTGTCCTTTAGTCTAATCGTTTGAATCCGTTAAGAATACAATTAATAGCGGCTTGTGTAATATATAAATTAAAGAGAAATTGACAATTACGGTCGGTGCGTATAAAATATTTCTAAGGCTACATTTAATTATCAATTCATTAGCGATTAATGAAAAATTCTTTAATGGAGTATTGTAATATTAAGCCTTAAACACGTTTTAAAATAATATACTATTTATAATAGACATTTTGGCGGTTCTATATAGATATTAGATTGTTCATAAAATGGATACCAAAACAGTAAATAACATATGTGTAAAAGCTAAAATAACAATAATTCAATTGGGATATAATATTTAGATAATCAAGTTATAACTCCAAGTTAACAAAGTTATTCTTAAAAGTAATGCAGAGTTGTCTGTATTACAATAAAAAATAAAATACGGTAAAATGATTTCATAGATTTCCAATTAAAATATAAATAATTTAATATTCCTAAGCAGTTATTTTGTTGTAATATATTTTTTCTGATTTATTCCAGTATTTGTATGCCCGTCGCCGCATTCAATACATCTCACCACACATCTCTATTCATAGCTTATCTTTCCCCATATTATATTCTAAGAGCTTAAAGTCCTCTCTTGTTAAAACCAATTTTTTTCTCAAATATTACCAAATATTGTCCATTAACATACACGGACAAGTATACATAGTTGGACCAACTAAAATTACGGTTAATATAAGGAGTCTTAGAAAAAACGATTGACACAACTGATATGGTTCCAAACTAACATACGAATAACTTCTCACTAAACAAACAATTCTTCTCCTTCGCCTTCATCCCAACTATTTGGGGTCGGCAACCCTTGACCTACACTTCCACTCGACACGGTCGCTCACATCAGTCCTCATATCATTCTCAATCACATCCAATCACCTCTTTTTCGGTCTTTTTCTTCCCCTCTTTTCTCCTACGTTTATTTTCATTACCATTCTCACGACTACCAATTCCCCTCTCCTCATAAGATTGTCCAAACCATCAATCTCAATCTATAGTGTCTCAGAATAGTATCTACCCATAATATTTGTAGATGATTACATCTGGTTGATCTATTCAAACTTGTCGATCATTTGAGGAAATACTTCAATTTTCATTTTAATAGCGCCAACAATAGCAGTATATAGGCATTCCAGACTCCAGTGTTGTTGTAATTATTATTATTACTACTAGTTGACCGTCTGGAACGGACACGCAAACCGACTGACCCGAGAGACACACGTGCAGTAAAACCTATCACATGTTATTATTAGTGTATTCATTTCAATCACGGCGTGAAACACAACCGTCGCATATGTACACACACGTATTACTATATACCTACTACGGTCTACATGTATAATAGTAATAATAATACATAATATAATATGTTCTATAGAAGGTATATCACATTTATTTGTATATATATATATATATATATATATATATATATGTAAAATTATTCCTCCCCCGACGCTAATTAGTCGACCCATTCGACTGACAAAAAATATTTCACACTTTCCGTCCCATTGTGTAAAATATAAGTGTGATAGCCGGCGAACAAGAAGGAAGGCCCGTACAAACAACAACGGTTTGTACAAAATATATCTATATGGTCAGCGAATGATGTACCGCAACATTATTAAATTTTGTGTGTTTTTAAATATATTGCTTCATCGCCGGACAATCGTCTCCAAAAGCTGATCCAACACGTTCGTGACCGAAAACGAGGCAGGAGTGTCTGAATAATAAAAATTAATTACTAATTACAGCAGTAATTATACCAGTCGCTCATTGCACTCATTACACGATTCTTGTCAAACAGGTTGTATTAAAACGTTTACGATGTAATATCGTATTATTAATAATAGCAGTCGAGGGTTTCTTTGTTCGAAATAGTTGTGAAATCGATTGGACGATTGTGTACACAACACACATGGAAGTGACTGGTAGCTGGTTCTCCTTTCGACCGCAACTAAAATAATAATCATAGCAGCTGTGGCCAATTTGGTGGCCCCACAACTAAAGAGATACACAAGAGAACACGCGAATTCACATAATTGCCCTACGCTGCTTTATATCTTTGATATATTTTTTTCGTCACAATAACGTTGCGTATTGCAAATCCGGCCAAGTTTAACTCGACATGTTACATTGCCAAATGATGATATAATATTGACTCCACTCAAATCGGATGATCTAGATTTTCAACTGCGAAAACTCTAATTAATCTACTAAAATAATAATACACAACGTATGGATATGATGTGTTAAAGATTAACTTTTTAAAAATTAAAAATGTTCATCTATAATCGGAGTATTTTAAAAATTAAAATTAGTGTAAGTTAAATATATATTTACATTAATCTAATTATAAGCAAAGAGTAATAACAACGAAGTTGTTTGATTATCTTTTGACAATTCTCAATTTCTTTATGATGAAGTAGTTTTGTAGTCAATATAATAAAGGTTAGGTTATCGCCTAAACGTATAGGTACAAGTTATTTTTGTAAAGATCTCTTATTGTGTATTGTTCACACTCTGCACGATTACAGTTTTTGATTAAGTATGATTATATATTAAAACCACCGAATACTTACTGTGGACTTGATAAATAATAATGGGGATTGTAAATGTAAATAAGGGTGGAAGTGCATTCGAACGAGTCATTCGAGCCATTTACAAACACTAATTATTTATATTGTGTACAAGAATGATTAATATTAAGCTAAAAGCAATTCGGTCGTCGTTCCTACAGAAATTCCAATGGCACGGCTCTGCTTCGTTAAAAGCGATGAGTATTCGGTTCAGGTTCAGTCGAGTATTTGGATATTAATATTAGGTGTACAATATATAATATTATGAACGTTAATAATAATAGGTATACTTAATAATATTTTTCGGTTTTCTTATAGCGGCATCCATAACCAGTAATGAGTAAAACAAAGTAAGTGTTTGCTCCTGAATTAATGGGCTATAGGCAACCATTAAGTAATATATATATATTATAATTTATATTACATGTTTTAAGTATTAACCTTAAATTATAATAATATGTATTCATAAAATAAAATGATCTATACAATTTAACTGTGTATCCATTTGTAACTATTCTTCTTTAATCCTAATTTAGACGTTTTATGTTATTGAATAAACTAAACAGTAGTTTTATGAATCTAATTAAAGAATTCAGGAAATATCCACACAAGCTCCCCCATACATGTGCATATTACATTTTCTTACATAATATTTTAATTTCTTATTCCCCGGTATCCCTCCTCGATTAATTTAACAAGAGTAGCACATGACTGCCATTGCTGAGTCCGAGGCTTTTTTTTCTCTCAAATCAGTACTCTACTTTGCGCCACAATATAACTGAATAGCTTTTTTTTTTTTTTAATTAAATAAGCCTGAAAGAAATAACTACAAGTGTAAAAATGTATTAAGGAAAGTGAAGTGCGGTAGAGTAACGCGCACCCTGTCCTAAACATTAACTTTAAAATTAACTATCCAAAACTGGTTATTGACCCGTCAAAATGATCAATAATTTGAAAAGTTTATAAAATGATAGGTTACCTTTTAGGCTCGAAAGTCTATAGAGTTCTGGAAAATACTAAACAAAGGTAAATATTTAGTAAATCTATAATACATATTAAATAAAAATATTTTCAAAAAGAAAAACGTTAAATAGATTAATTTAAATAATACGAGTATACTGTTTTACAGTCACGTAACACCTTATAAGCAGGGAAAGGGGGTTTAATTAAGCACAGGTGGATATATATATAATAATAATGTAAATGTTCCTCTTGAGAGAACGTTATACTTCAATATTTATTAAAGAGTTACGTATAGGTAGGCAATTGTTTGCAAAATCTCAATTTAAAGATTAAACTGTGATGTGTCAGTAACCAGGATTCTTTTTTTTTTTATAGTTAATTTTTTTTTCTGGCCAGCATAGCGTCCTTGACGGAAAACAACGGGAATAAAAATATCGAAAGATAACCTAACATTTCGGTGACAACGTCGTATCCAGTAGATTACAAAATCACAAAAATAGTCTAATTAACAATCTGTATAGTAACGCTATACCCAGGCAATCCGAGACGACGTCTAAAGAGACAATGGTGTCGCGACTTATTAGTAGAATAACTAAAATAAAAAATTGAATTTTCGAATTTAAGTGTCACCATAATGGGTGTGTCTTCTTTGTCAAATCTATCATATGCATATTTATCATATGATTTGTATTTTATATCACATATACATACTTATTGCGCTCTTATTGAACAGATTGTATATTTTCTAAATAAAAAAAACGTCGTATCCGATTTAAAAAAAATAACGTGAATAAAAAGTAGTAGTCGTTTAAAAAATATTTAAAAAAATGTATAGCTAAACGAGCAACGTCGATAGAGGATCACAGGACTTGTCGGGGGGCCGCAGGACGAACCGTCGGACCGAAGTCGTGGGCGTGGCCCCGGCCAATGGGAAACGGTCACCCCCACCACCGCGGGCCGTCTTGCCGGTGTTCCTTAGGCTCCGCTCGGCGGAACCCGTGGCCGTAGATACACATTCGCATACACAAGCGCGAACGAAACGCATCAGCCGTCTCCGCCGCCGCCGTCGTCGTTTCCGGTCGGACGACTTATTATTTACATCCGTTTTTTACCTGTAGTATTAATGCGTTTTTTTTTTTGCTACCGCGAGATGTAATTTTGTGCTTTTTTTTAACGCTTCCCACAAAATAAAGAAACCGTATCGTTTTCTACTGTGTCGACCGTGTACCAATAAAATAACAGCCGTTAATTATTCGTTGTCATTCGTATTTCCGTAATATCATCCAGGCACCCGGCGGACCGGATGTAAATACATTCGTTTTTATCGAAACGATTATATTTCAAAATTGGCCGCGTCAAGCAGAACCCCGTCCGTGCAGTAGCCGCCGGCGAGACCGACTCGCTGGACTCGCACAAGGATATTATGGTGAGTACAACTCGAATTTCTTCGATTATTGTCAAAAATAAAAACCCAGTTTAAATGTGAAATTTAGCAGGCACAATTGTTGTATTATGCATGGGACCACCCATAAGGGACTACAGTCGAGGGATCACACGATAATAATTTTGGAAAGCATCGATCAGTGTTAAAACATTTCTCTCGTTTTCCGTCTCCCGTGTAATGCACGTCTATTTAAGTGTTAAATGTAAAAATATTTTTCTTTTATTAAAAACTCATTATAATTATTAGTTGTCATAAAAAAACTGAAAAATTTCCCCTAAGTTTGATCATTTAACGACAGTTTTTAATTATAATGTCGCATAACGCTAATCTGTTTTATACCTGAAAATGTATATGGAATCTCAAACCTGTACCTATAAAAGTCATTCCGTATCCGTTAACACAAATTAAAAAACACTGTTGATAATTCTCAATAGACTGGTCGAGTCTTAACATAAAGTGTGCTATTTTTTATAATAGTAGAAGTGTATATTTCGACCAAAACTCTTTGGGGAAATAGTGATAGGGGAGAATGGATGCTCATGTTCATTTTATGGCCAAAATTATAGTTTTGTTGTATGCAATTTTCTCTAAAATTAATTATATTTTATACTAAAATGCAAATAGTCATTCCAACAGAGGTCGCTATCATATCTCGCTCTGATATATTTAGCTTTTGATGTTCAACATTAGTGTTGCTGGTAGTTTGGCCAAATCACTTAATCCGAGGCGACTAACAATTATTGTTGTGTAAACAAAATCATTCTAACTTTTTCTGGTGATCCGCTCATCGTCTTAACCGCTAAAATATGGGTAGTGAAGGTTTCTTAATGCGACCTAGCGTTAGTATTATGTGTTCAAGTTTTGATTGTAAAAACGTTTAAGTATACTTATTACATTGAATTTACCGTTATTTTGAGGATGTATATCGCCCGTTAATTATAATTCTCCTTTGACGAATCATCAATTATACAGGTACAGGTACATTTAACACTAATGTAAACACATAGTTGAAATAAATTCGATAAGTATTAATACTAGAATACTTGTCAATACTAAACGAATAATCCACTATAACATTTTCCATATCATTTGCAAAAATTATAGTATGATTTCTCAGTGAACAGTAAACAAAACCAACACACGTTGTCAATTTCCTATTATCATACTAATTTATAGATATTTTTACTTTTTACTGGCATAATATGAGTATTATCAACGAATCTGTGTTTTCCACTTCTGAGGTTTCAACTATGCAATTTAGTTATTGTCAGTATGATATTTGGGCAGAACCTAACCCAGACGGATAGGAAATCCATCAGGAAAATTGTTTCCTGCATAATAATAATAATTGGTTGGGTTTTCTATGATACAAAATCATTTTTGTTTCAATTTATTTAAAATTCTATTTCGTATACGGTATAGGTGCAGTTTACTTAATATCATTGTGAATGCTGTGGCTTGGAATTATTTTATACATATCTATTCTATACTTTAAATCGTCCATTAACGAGTTGACCGTCATTAGATTGAAAACTAGAATAATATGTCTATAATTATACTAATTTAATTGACTATATAAACAATTTTCTCCACCTATTTATAAGTCGACTGTACAGTGAAACCATACAAGTATTAATTTTATTATGTAAATTTACTTTTACAGATAATCCAATATAATTTATACCGAATTGGATCACTATTTTTCGCCTTTATCTAATCGTTATTTTTAACCACATAAATTGTGTTGATGGTTTTTCACCTTCTCCCTCGTTTGTCTGCGACATAGCGGTTGCTTGTCTTTTAAAAGTATGAGAAATAAATTATTAAAAACTTAACACATAAAAGAACCGTCGTAATTTTCTCTTTTTACAAAATTTACTCGCTTGATGTTTAATAATCGTTAATTTAAATGATATCTATAGAGTAGTAGCGAGGAACTAAAACCTCTCAAAGTGAGGTGGACCTCTGCCGTGGCACTTATGTTTACGCCAGATTATAATAATACAGTATACATGTTATACTATAATAATATTAATATTAATATCATACACTTGCCGTTTGTTTTATCGGGCAACCTTGTCGCTTGTCCACTAAGCACGCCGTAATGTCGATTTAACGACAACACAATGATCGTTGTTTTTAATCGCAAAATTATCTCAATGCAACGTACCTACATTATATAAACATATTACAATAATCCCCCGTGGTCATAGGTATAGGTGCAATCATATTAATATACGTCTGATGATGATGGATAGGGCTCTGAATAACTAAAACAAAAATATGTCACCTTAATATTTTTATTTTCTTATAGCTATATATGCCTACCCCCCGGCGGTTCGGATTTAATTAGGTAGGGGACATAACAATAATATTGAATGATACTATAAACAGTTTATTTATATATATTTTGTAGACGATTAAACATATTATTATTATGTAGGTATACAAAATTCTATAGTTCTGTTTTTAATGATAATATTGTTGTACACGACAACTGCCTGTTAATAACAGGACGATTGTTTTTATTTGAATAATGACCTTATATTTTTAGATTTCACATTTGTGTCTGTTAAAATATTAATACCTATCCATAGAAATTGTACCTGTTTGTGTACCTGTGTATACTAGAGGCTTTATAGTAATCGATGAAACAGGAGGATGTGCAAGATCTAGGAGGTGAATTGGATTGGAAGAATCTAGCGATGGATAAAAATATATAAGTAGACGAGGGGTTGTGTGACAGGATGGTTCTAGAGGCCGAATAACCTAAGAAAAAATAATATATTATTGTTTTTGTTTAATAAGAATCAATTTAATTTTTTGTAATTTTGGTAAATTAACTTCCATGTAATGTATTCTTAATTTGGCTTTGTAATTTTTTTTTAAAACTCTTCATAATATTTTTTTTGTACACAATTACAAATAAAAGTTATTTCATATTTTTACTTACATATTCAGTTATCTAACTAGTAATGGCCAAAAAGTGAAATTAGCCATTTTTGAATCAAGAAATATTACTATTGAACGATTCACTCCGAACTAGGTTTCAGGCTTTCGTACACACAGACAACAGTGTATACATTATTTTTTTCCACAGAATTGTGAATGAAAAAAAGTCACTTTTATAGTGTTAGTCATTTTGAGAGGGTGACAAGTTAGGCGTCGTTTTTTTTTTATAAAACAAACTGTAGATTATTTTAAAACTACAAGTCAATAACAGACATGGGAGCATGAGTGGCTTCACCGAAATTGTTTACCAATTACCGTATAAAATGGGTTTTATCTAATGTGACTGCATTATAAAAAGGAGGGACTTGTGAAACGAATTTTTTGACGGAACTGCTCCTCAGCAATGCTCTATGACCGGCACCTACTTAATATATTTTGACTTCATAACTAGAAAAGAACGCGCGTCCTTGGCCGTCACAGCCGAGACACATCCCCTATTATAGGTGTGTGTATACACAATTATATGTACACTTGTCCAAGGACAACTTATACATGTATGTTGTAATTGTGTACATAATATTAAATTGATAAATTACGTCTAATAAAACCTTTTTTAAATCCCGGACTCGATTGTCAAAAAAAAAAAAAAAACCCCGTTTGTTTATTCTCTCTCGTTTTGGAGGCGACGACGACATCAGACCTCCGAGTCAAAGAAGCCGCGCGACCGCGTTTTTAGGTTCTTTTTTAAAGGGTAGTTTTTATAATACAGAGGTGGAAAAATACAACAAATCGTATAAAGAAGATATCACGCGCGCCGCCGCCGCCGATAATAGCGGGTGGTATTTTTATATACACTGCATTATATTATTTGTACAATAATACTAATAGTAATTTGTCCTTCTACCTATACAGTCCCATTTGCTGGGCGGCTTGTGTTGACACACTTAACAACCCTCGGGCGGCCCGCGTAATCTCAAACCTCACAAATTGCCCGTAAATAACTAAGTATACAATATTATGTTGGTTTAACACTGCAATAATACCTATTTAGTTTCGATTTTTTGGTGATTATTATTAAGTATTATGTTTTCTGACTCGCCGCGCGGGTACGCTCCTCAGTAATATTTTTACTCCCTACAGGTATAACATACATATTATTATAATATAGTTTTAAGATACCATACACCCGGTATTATATACGTGTGTTTGAATTAGCGAGGGTAGAGTTTGAACAGCCGCTCGTCGATAAGGGCAACTCGAAAGAACCTCAACGCACTGGCGCAAGTTATTACTTGACAAACATTATAACAGGCGTCCGACACGTTCGATCGACGGTTAGGTACAATAATTATAAAGATTTTAAGTAATGTAACAGAACGGATTATCTGCATTTAGTGTCTTAGATGTAAGCACGGCAATAACGTTAAAAAAACTGCTCAAAACAAAGTGGTCGATGACAGCTAGTGTGTGTGTGAGTGTTGGATGTTATGGACGACAGTGACGATGCAGGAAGTGGGGATATTACAGGTGACCGACCTTAAACAGTATGGGGATAAGTGGCAAAAACTAATAGAGCTGTACCATCTATGTTCGGTGTTAGACAAGTTATTATTTTTTTTATTATTAATTTATTCTAAATTACTTAACTAATATCATCGTACGTTACGGATCAAACGCTAATAGTTTAACCGTATTTATACTTATGTTTGTGTGTCAGTACTTGTGAGGTTTACAAATCATTCGCTTGGATTTGGGAGAGGCACGATTTCTCAACACGAGTCCGCTCCCTAAAAAGGCAAAAAGAAAATATAAAAAAAATACATGATGTTATATCGATTCAAAGTATTATAATTTCAGTGGCTCGCTCAGTAAAATTTAACGATAATTATACGATAAAAATATTCCGACGGGCGCGTATAATGTCATTAGCAATTACAATTAGACATAAATTTCAATAATTGTACAAAGAATAATTATTAAGACACGGCAGTAGTTTATGTACCCACATTATAATACACGTCTTTGAAATA